AATTATAATTTTCATGCTTATTTATTTTGAAAAGAAAGTTAAAATTGTGTTTTTCAAGATTAAAAACATCTTTACTAACTGGACAATATTAAATTGCAAATGTTTCAGTTTATGTTTAAACATTCAAAATAAATATTTTAGTACATTAATCTTTAACGTGCAGTCGTCTCTCTTTTTAAATCTCGCCAATGTAAAGAAAATGTCTTCATTTTATGAATAAATATTCTTATAGCGCTCTTGAAAAATTCTTATTAAATAACATACTTTAATTTGCCAATCTTCAGTTTTAAGCAAATATTAATTACTGAGAGAAAAACTGTATTAAATAACATTAAAAGGTAATTCATGTCATTCTTTTTAAATAATTTATTATAAAGATATTTTTCAATTTAAGAGACAGAAAAAGAAATTTAAATATTTGTCACTAATGCCTCTCTATATAGAATAATATTATTTATTAAATTAACTGTATTTCTGACAGCTTAAAACTCAAATATGTGAAGTATATACCATTTTAAAGAATTCATCATATTTTACGTCGTGAAGGCTTAAAAAAAATCATTATTTTGCCATTAAGTATTCAAATTTCGAATAGGCTTTCTATTTTTGAATAATGTTACCCTATTCAAACAAATAAATCTTTTAGAATTGTTTGGAAGGAAAAAAAATTACTTCCAAGTATTTTATATGATTTAAGAGATAAATTTTGTTAGTTTAAAAATTTCTTCTAATTCTTATCGAGATTATTTATAATCCACTTAATTGAACAGTTTTCATATTTGTCGTTTTAAATGAGTTTTCATTTAAAAAAAAAATTAATTTCAAATAGTGCTATAATTCAACACGTTTGTAATTATTTTTATTAACGTGTTTTTATTTCTAATTACGCATTTATTGATTTTTCGAATAAGGTAAACTACTAAATTTGAATAAGGTAATTCTTCAATTTTTTGTATAAGGTAAATTTTGAATAAACTAAACTTTTGAATAAGGTAATTCTACAATTTTTTGAATAAGGTAATTGAATAAGGTAAATTTTGAATAAGATAATTCTTAAATTTTTTGAATAAGGTAATTGAATAAGGTAAATTTTGAATAAGATAATTCTTCAATTTTTTGAATAAGGTAATTGAATAAGGTAAATTTTGAAAAAACTAAACTTTTGAATAAGGTAATTCTTCAATTTTTTGTATAAGGTAATTGAATAAGGTAAATTTTGAATAAACTAAACTTTTGAATAAGGTAATTCTACAATTTTTTGAATAAGGTAATTCTTCAATTTTTTGAATAAGGTAACTGAATAAGGTAAATTTTGAATAAGATAATTCTTAAATTTTTTGAATAAGGTAAATTTTGAATAAGATAATTCTTCAATTTTTTGAATAAGGTAATTGAATAAGGTAAATTTTGAAAAAACTAAACTTTTGAATAAGGTAATTCTTCAATTTTTTTCAGTTTGTTGAAGATTGTAAAAAAAAAATTGAAGAAACAAATTAAAAAAGAAATACTTAGAACTATCTTTTAAAACTCAACGCTTTGATTAAAAAAAATTTAAGAATTATTTACACGTACCACTGCCTCTAGTTTGCCAGTTCGAATTTTATCGAATGAAAAGTCTAATTTTTCGAACGAAATTGTGGTAAGTCACAGTCATAATTTTTACATAGACATTAGAATTTCGCTTGCCTGAACTAATTGAGATTGTTAGCTTTTTCGGATTATTGAAAGTCGTATTATCAGAAATTCCATTTACAATTGATATTTTACACATTTTTTTAACATTATTAAAAGAAATTTGTGTATCGAAATCGCCTTATTTTTATTACTCTACCTTGTCCCACCCCCGCCAGGGGGCATCCAGGGAGTACTGATAGATTACAAACATAATTATAACATGGAGAATTGAAAACATTAAAGAACATAAAATTGAAAATATTGTGGATGGTGAACAATTACAGATGGAAAGATGAGATCAATCAAAACACTTGATTTACAAGTAAACAGTAGTAGTTTTGAAATTTACACTGTCTAGTACTCGAAGAGATAAAGTGAATTTGTTTCAGAGCACGATTTTGCATGATCCATTCCAATTATTTTGTCTTCCTATTATTCCACGTATTTAAAAAAAAAAAAACTATGGTAAAAGATTTGCCGGAAAAATTCTTGAGAAGGCCAGGGCCCACTCTGCGCTGTTGAGTCAATGAATAAAGAGAATACGCTATAAAATTCTTTTTATTTATAAAGTTTGAGAAGAAATGTTGGTTCTGATTTTCTGAAATTTCAAGTTATCAGGGTTCAGATTACCGGAGTTTTAAAGTATTTATAAATAATTAATTTGCATTTTATTTTTCATATTATCATTAGAATATTTTAATACATTTCACTGAACTTCGTAATTACTTCTTTATATACCTAATTTAAATATTGTTCCTGATACGTCAAATATGATTTAAAATTTGTAACGAACTTGTGAATTTTGTCACTTATTTACTGCATTTAATTGGAATATTATTCTTCCATTCAAAGAAAAAAAAATAAAAAACTGTCGTGATCGTAAAAAGAGGTCCTTTCCGCTATTTTACTTTTTTCTCCTAAAAAATGCAATGAAAAACAGCTTTGCGAAATGTATGCAAATTTTTTCTGGCTTCCGTCGACGAAAAAACTTTAAAACTCACCGTGAACGGGGTAACAGTCTAAAATATTTTAGTTTCTTACGCCATTTGCTGTTTTACTTTTGTTTTTTTCAGGCAAAATTTTTTTTAATATGTATATTTCTGGTTAGAAATAAGCGCAGAAATAACAACAACAAAAAAATATCGGAAAATTATTTTAAAGTTTTAGCAACATAAACGTCAAAACAAAACTTTATTATGATTTTTCTATACTGCTTTCTGTGAAAAACTTTTAAAGTAGTTTTTATAATAATTTTATCCTTGTTTAATAGATTAAAAATACCTTCGTGTTAAAATTCACTTCTCCTTTTATTTGTTTTAGAAATGCAAGGTGGGTTTGTTTTAACGAGAATTTTTTAATTGTAGGAGATGAAACCTTTTTGTGTAGAATAAGAGTTCGATCATATTTTTTTTTATTTAATCCTATGACCCTAAAAATGCTATATGCTTTTTATGATCATATGTATGCTCTGTGTGATCATCATACATATGAAAACATACATATGGACAGAAAATTTTTTTGTGCAAAATTAAAAATATTTTATTTTGCTTTAATAATTATCATCATTTATTTATTTTATATTATATAATTTCAGTTTTATACAATATCCCATTATATCCCTTTACATAGTTTCAGTTTTTGCATTTTTGATGTCCAAAAAGGAAAAATGCGAAATTTAGCCATTGCATAAGAAAATAAAAGACTTTTAAAACAGATACTAGGCATTTCATCTCCGAAATCGGGGAATTTTCGGATATGCGACCAATAAAAGTTTCAAACAAAAACATTTTGAAGCAAAATGAAAAACAGAGTATTCTAAATATTTTTTAATCTAAATATCGGATTTTTACGCTCTAAGTTATTTTAATAAGTCAAGAAAAAGACTTTAAATTAAAATTAAACGCTGCAGGCGATACACTGTTAGAATTTTCATTCTAAAATTATGGTAAAACAACAGCAGTCTGTCCATCCAATTAACCCTAAAGTTTACGATAAAGAATATTTTAAACCTTTACAGTTTTGAAACAGTTTACAACCAGTATGGTTTAAAAAAACAAATACAAAACTATACGGTTATTTAACCATGTACAATGAGCATGTTTTAAAACCGTGAGAAAAGAATTTTTAATGGACGTTTAAGACAGTTCAGTAGTTTTATGTCATCTATGCGTATTCTAACAACGTATGGTTACAACTATGGTTACAGCAACGTATGGTAAGTGCAAGTCACTGGTAACTCTTCATGTGTTGAAGGGAATATTGTGGGGTCAACGCTGGGACTCGAACATCCAGTCTCTTGGTCACGAGATTGATAGATTAGTCTTCTTAGCTATAATATGTACCCATTTGCCAAGAACTAAATGACTTCTCTAATAGTTTGCACGATAAAATTCTTGTTGTTTAAACTTACTGGCGAAAGCAGTTAATAACGATTTTTCTCACAATTAACAGTTTGAATACCATCTTATTTATGATTATTTCACTGCTTTGTTCGAATATAGTAAAATAACTATTAAATAAATTTTTATTTAACCATTTTTTCCTAGAAATTTCAAACAATGTAGATAAATTATGAAATCATAGGAAAATATGCTGTAAATTTAGTTTTATTTTATGATTTCCTACATTTTCCTTTGTCATATAGCTCTGTCAAAGCAAAATATTAGAATTATCGAATCAATCAAATGATCGCTTTTTTAGGGATATTGTAAAAATGCCACATATGTCATAAATATGCATAATTATCTTTTAGCATAAATTATTTTTCAAAACTCCATTTCTTAGGTATCATACGTTTGAATTGATAATAGAACCTTTTCTTTATTTTAAATTTGATTGAAAAGCATGTTTTTACAATGTCCAGAAAGAAAGTTTTAATTTTTTTCAACAATTACCAACTACCTAATAAAATTTAATTGATCTCAAATTATTTTTTATTAGTTACTATTGCAATTATAACAACAACTTTTTATTCTAACATAAATGTAAATTCTGACATTTATATTTCCGTCATTTAATATCGAATATAAAGTATAAATAAATTATGAAAAGCTTTATAGATAAAAGAAATGCATCAAAAATTTACTTAATAAGCACAACTATTTAAATAAAGCATTTATTCTTTTCAACTTCCAAGGAAGAATTTTACTTCCATTGGAACATTTATCATATAAAAAATAAAATTTATATTAAATAAAAGAATTTTTTTCTCGTATTGTCCCATTTTTAATTTTTTCTTAAACTATCATGATCAATTGTCCTTTAGTTATTAATTGCTTTATTCTTAATAGTGATAGATTAATCTGTTCTTTTTTTTACTATTTTAGAAAAAGAATAGTTTTGTGCGAGAGAAGTGAAGTGAAATGGTGTCAGCCATGCAGCTGGAGACAGTTTCTGGCGAAATGGAGGAGTTGGAGCTGGAAGCGCATCACATTCTCCTGAATGACGTAAGCGATTTGTTTACAAAATCTCCCAAACGATATTTTGTCGGAATCATTTACGCTTTGCTTGTCACAAATCCGTAATTCTTAATAACATTCAAGCGCGCTGAAATATTTGTTTGTTTGGCTCACTGGAAAGTTAATTTATTTTGAGTCAGAGAGAATATTATCTTGCTTTAAAATTTTCTTTGACGAGATTCTGCGTCCTCAACGTCTGGAATAATTTAAACTAGCTCAAATGAAAACGTTGCATAAGCTAAAATTTTAAATAAACCTGATATGAATATACAAACATAGGTAAATAAACTTTTAAAATTTCAAACAAGAAGAAAACTGAATAAGAATAACAAGAGAATAATATTATCATTGTTTCGATTGCACCCAAATTTTCTTATTATAATCATATTTTAAGATTGTCGTCTTTTATTGCTTAAGCACACTTTCTACTTCCTTTTCTAAATCCTTATTTTCGGGGAGAAAATTTCAATTCTTATTTTCAATGAAAATCTTGTTAGAATTCAAAATTCGCATTACCTTTAAAATATTGTTGAAAAATAATTTTGAAAACAAAATAGTTTTTTAGAAATACCTCATTTAGTTCTACAGCAAAAATTTAAAGCTAAAAATCAGAAAACGATTGCAAAAATCCGACATTTTCTGAAATCGTTTGCTAAAAAATTGCGTTCTTTTTTTTACTCTCTTCAAATTTTTTCTGGACTAAAGAGTATAGCTTAAAATTAGTAAAGTGCGAAATAGTTTTGATAACTATGTGATGAAATAATTTAACTATAAATTTTAATTTTTCTTCTGTTTATTTTTTACTTATGATGTAGCGTAAAACTTTTTTTTTCGATTCTACTTAAGCAAAAAATTACAATGTAGCTCTGAAATCGCTATAAAACTTGTTCATGATATATGAATGAACTATAACATTAAAGACAACTTTATTTTTATTGTGGAAATGATTTTTATAATTGTACTAGCTGAATACTCGTTCTTCGTACGAGGTGAATAAAATAAAAAATAGAAAATAATCGTTACTGAGCATTGCGAAATCATGCTCAAAACTGAGAGGCGATATCGAAGAACTTAGTAGAAGAACCAGGCAAGTGACATTTTAGGGGTATTTATGCTTCAGTGAAAATAACATAAAGTGGTTTCATCAATGATCAATGTAACTGAATTGCTTTTGGTTTCACTTTAATTCTTAGCATAACTAATCCACGTTAGTTTTTAGCATGCTTGCATGATTTTTATTTTCTAATTAATCTCTCGCAAATAAAATAAAACAAAGTCAGACAAGTCTCGCTTTCTCGTAAAATAAAATAGTTTGAAGAGCAATTTTTTTTCTCTTTTTAACCTGATTATATCCTCACTTACCTGGTTCTTCCACAAAGTTCTTCAATTAATAAAGCTAGTATAATTTTAATTTCCTTTTTTTATTTTTTGTTGTCGCCCTTTTTGATGGCTTTACTTTATTTAAACTAAGTAACTTCAGCATTATTTGGCATGATGCTATTGCTCGCGGCTAACTCATGATAGTCAACATTTTTTTCTTATCCAATATTTTTCTCCCTTACATATCTCATTCGAGGAGCCGTTAAACTCTTATTACCAAAGTATCAATGTTAAAACTGCTTAGTATTGGTGCAGTTTTAGCAATCCCCATATATATATCAATAAAATACTTTATGCCTATATTAATATATATGTCACTTAATACATAACCTTTTAACACTGGAACTACATTTATCAGTGACAACTTACTAAGCCAAATTTTAAAAATATATGGAGTTCTTATGAAACCTTAATGAGGATTTTGGAGCATGGCCATATCTCTATCTGACCTTTAAAAATTTGATAAATTGTGGTGAAAAAATAGTTCTTTGAATTTTAATTCATTATAATATTTATAAACTATCTTTGCTACCACTGGAAAAATATTTTCTGAAACTACGGAAAACCCATTATGGAATTCTTATTAAAACTGCAGCAATTACCTTACACCAGTAGTACATATTACCAAAATTAATTAAGTGTTTTTTGCGTATTGCGATTTTCTACGGTTTCCCTACACGAATTTTCCATTGACTTTTTCAACATTAACTTTGACTTTTAGCACTTAGCTTATTTTATTAGGTCAATTAATACAATTATGTCAATTAATTTTGTATTTTAATACGTACTAGCTTATTTCTTTTATTTCAATATGTATATATATATATTACCAAAACTAAATAGGAATACATTGTCGTCCAAGGCTATTTTTTACGTTTCTTCTAAGTCAGTTAGTACCACTTTTCCATTAGTTTTGCCCTTCAATTCATAACTATTTTTTTTTCATTTTAATTATCACTGATTTTAAACTATTTACTTTTACAGAAGCATATTTTAAAAGAATAACTATAAACAAAGTAAAGGCGCTATATCAGATAACTTTAAAAATATTAATTGGTGGCGTAGATAATGCGTGCTACCAAGTAATACTACTGCTCATTGAATTTATCTGACATAGCGACTATAAAATAATTAAATATTTAAATACCTGCAATAAACTGTTTTTTTTTATCAAATGGAGCTATAAGCTAATAATTATCACTAATATAATCTTTAAAATATGTGAACAATTGAATCGTATATAGCTATATTTAATACAATGGCTAACACTTAATCAATCTAAAAATTTCTTTTTGTTTTTTGCTCATTCCGCTCGAACGATTCGTCGTATAATGCTCTAATTTCGACAGTGACCATCCTCGTGATTCAAACTAATGTTTGCTAAAATTCATCGATTTTCTTTGGTTTGTTTAATAGGCTATAAGGGACACACAGACAAACAGATAAATACCCGTGACAAATCCGTGGTTAAAATTATTTACTAAAAATTCCTTTACTAAATAATTTCCTTTGTTAATATATACAATTTTTCCATGTGCAAAACCATTTCGGGCATATCAGTGGGTAAAATTGTTTGCTAAAAATTTCTTTATTAATTTATGCAATTTTTCCATGTGCAAATCCATTTCGGGCAAATCCGTGGCTAAAATTATCTAATAAATTTTTTCTTTGTTCATTTTTCCATGTGCAAATCCATTTCGGGCAAATCCGTGTTAAAATTAACTATTAAAAAAAAAATTCTTTTATAATTTATATAATTTTTTCATGTGCTAATCCATTTTGTGCAAGTCCGTGGCGAAAATTATTTAAAAAACAGGCAATTTATGCTTCTCTTTTCTGTTTTATATTTTTTCTTAAATAAACATCTATTTTCTAAAACTATTTATGGTCAATTTTTAAAATTATCCGGTATAATATTACCTTGCGCACATCCATTTCGGGCCCATCCTTGGTAACTAACAAATCAATGCACAGAATAACAAATCACTTCAGCAGTGTAGTAAGAACGGCACTTTAAAACCCTCTATTTACACTCAATTTGCGCTTTTGTTTTCATATTTTGTAATCTGGCAATCTTTCTGCGAAAACATTTTTAAATCATTCTTGAAAAATTTCCCGTCCATCATGCCGTCATTCAGTTCCTGCCGTCCATGTAAGTAGATCTGATTTGGCTATTCGCTTTATAGTCCATTTTTTATACTGTTTTTTCTTTTCTTTTATTTTATTTTCTGTTTTTACATGTTATTTTTACTTTTTGTGTTCTATTTTATTTGTTGTAATTTTTGTAAAAACTTTTTTTTGAGTGCTCCTCACACTATTGTATTAATATATTTTGCTTTGGCTTTATTAATACAATATCAGAAAGCACTCTGTTTTGCGGATATAATCGTGTTGGCTGATGAAAAGATTATATCTTTTTTTCCGGTTTTTTAAATAAAATTCCATCTTTTTTTCTTTTTTTTTTCTTTTTTTTAAAACTGTTTGTTATTTTTTTACTTATTATTTCCCCCCTTTTTTTCATATGTCTATAATTTTTTTTTTTGTTTTATCTTCATTTTGAACTTATATATTAATTATTAAAGGATTGGCTATAATTTAATTATAACTGAATGTATTTTGAGAAATTTAATCTTTTCAAAAGAATTTACTTGACAGTTTTATTTCAATTATTTCTTTAAAATAACGTATGTAAGGGCATATTTGCTCAATTTATGTAAAGCACAGTGTTATTTCAGTAAAATAAAAATTTGCCAAAATAGCCCAAAGTAAAATTTACTTTAACTCAACATTTGAAAATATTCTTCTTTTCTTAACGGCAATTAAAAACCCAGATAAAGAAAATCACTCATTGATATTCGAAAAGCTACATAAATATTTTCGCTGATAATTTACCTAATTGTCTTTTTGCCTAAAAAAAGCGAGAGAGTACATTAAGAGGATCTTAAGTGTAAAATAAAAAATAAAATCCAACATTAAAATTTTTTAATTAAATTCTCTTTTTTAAAATCCGAAGTCCTTCTTATTGCTTTTTCGATCTAAGAATAGCTCATAAATCCATTATATTCAATTGCCATCAAGAATATGCAAATTTCAAACCCACTCTCTGTCTCCAAGGTCCTTACATAATACTTGAGTGACCCAAAATCTTGATTACACCGATTTCATTTTACTCCTTAACAAAAAACCGAAAATTAAAAACGTGACATCTTGTATTAATTTATTTAATCCGATATCGACATTTTATATTACCAGTGGCCTAAAAATTATCGTTATACATACTTCAATGGTTTATGTGTAAAATTTCTATGCTAACTAGCGGTTGTTTTGCATTTGATCACAGATTAAATACTCTTCCCTTTTGTACAATTAACAATATTTTTTTATTATCTACATTACGATGTCCAATAAAAGTCCTTCCGGGCTACAAAATGTTGATTTGCATTACAAACATAAATTTTTATTTACTTACACTGCATTTTTTTGGAGACAAGAACTAAAGTTTATGTGCCTGTTTCTTTTCTTAGTTTAGGAGCAATAAGGCAGTTCTTTTTGCGTAGAAAAACCGAGAAAAAGAACTTTTTTTTTAAACATTAGATGAGTTCTTTACT